TTCGGAGGCATCCCCTCTACTCTGCCGCTCGACGACACCATACGGTTCAGTTTTGATGGGAACTGTTCCCAGTTCACTGCAATGGTGGACGGGATCGCGTTAGCCAGTGCTGCCGCTGTAGCCCATTGTGATCCGGTAAGATGTGGAGCTTACGATAGTCGCAACAAATCCTCGCCTTACCTGTATTTTCCCACTCTTGTGATAATCCGAGCGCCGAAGTCCAGTGAAGAGAAGATACAGGGTATAGCTGCTGCTGTTGAATCCCACGGTAGCTTTGACCGTTTCTGTTACCAGTTTGCTGTGGCTCTCCACCTCCTCTTCTCACTACGGAGTGACGGGCACGTTTATGCTGCTAATTATTTGCGGAGTGCAATAAGCAGCCTTGCTGTGAAGGGCTCGGGGACCACGACGGTCACGACGGTCGGGGTCTTCGCTCCGTACTTCTTCATTGAACCCACAACAATCCTACCGAAAGACGTGTTCGGCTTCGCAGCAGAGACAGAGGGTTTTGCGGCGCTGGTAACCCCAGGAGAGGGTGCGAAGATGCCGTTTTTTGAAAGAGCGGAGCCAGTTGCAAAATGCAGACATGTTTCTGAGTGGATACTTACATACAGGAGTGCGCGGACGTGCGGGATGGTATTGTTTGCAATGAACTCCGGGGAGGATGGCCTTGATGAGATGCAGATTAGAGATTTTGACCATGACATGTTTGTGCTTACCAGGCTCTCGCATGAAGAGATGCTACGGAGAAAGCGAAATAGAGGGTTTGTAACGCCGGCCGATCTGCTTTGGGTACGAGGTCTGAGCAAGTTGCCCCATCCTGCTGAAATGATCCAAGGCTGTGGGCGTCTACGTATGACGCTGGTGCACAGGGATTTGAAGCATGGCCGCGAATCGAGGCCGACACCGTACATTCCTGATCCGGATGATGCCCAATTAGCCGAACTCACACTGAACGCAAGCAAGCCGGCCTTCTGTTGCTGCGGTAAATCGGACCAGAAATCGCGAGGAGTAAGTAGGATTATAACTTGTGGCGCGACTAAGCTCGAACAGTCTTTATTAGGACGCCGTTAATGCTGCAATGCCTGTTGGGAGTTGGAAGGTACGTCCATCTCCGTACAGGCTCTCTACTGGGCGCCCACCTTGCGTTTACCAATCTTGACAGTAGCTGCATGCAGTATGGTGTGCCTGACTGGGCCTGCGTGTTTGTTGCCTTGCACTGCTAGATGCAGCAAGGCAGGTTGCAACTTAGGCAGGTTGCACCTCCTCACCACCAACAGGCTCTTGGACCGCTGTGCCCAGGGCGGGACTGGAGAACAGGCCATGAACTGGTTTTTGAAACATATTCTAGGAGTAATTGACTTTACATAGCAGTTCACGACGGTCCTCAGCCAGATGCATGGAAATAGCGGAGATGATGGAGTTGTAAGCACGTAAGAAAAAAGAAGAACACCACTTCCATCGCCCTAGCTGATATGCGAGTAGAAAAAGGGTTGAGACGTGACTCAACTGTACAGCCGTGTTTTCACCATACATCGACTAGTCGAATGCCACGACAGTTAAAAAGGAGCTGTCACCCGTACTCATTAACATATCGCAATGGACTACAGCGGCAGCACAGGCTAAGGCGCTTCTATCCACCATTGCAGTGATGCAGTGGACAGGGAACAGTTCCCATCAAAACTGAACCGTATGGTGTCGTCGAGCGGCAGAGTAGAGGGGATGCCTCCGAA